CAAAAGCTGTTTCGGCATGCGGTGGCTGGGCATGCGGGCTACATGACCCAGCCAACGCAGCCTTGCCTGCCGGAGGAGCTCACCGATGGGACCTTGCCCAGATCTTTCCAGGATTTGTGAGCTCCTCACACAATCCAGCTTGGTTAAACCCAGGATGGATCATAGGCAGGCTAGCCTAAATGTTTCTAACCGGCGAAGGTGTTCCATTAGGGGGGTCCACGTGTCGCAAGCGTAGACAAGGGAGGGAATGACCGTGGCTGAGAAGACCTGAAGCTTAGTGCGGAGCGACAGACCAGGTAGCTTCCACACAGCGTTACGCAACCGATGAAAAGATATTGCCGCTCGACTGATTCGGAGTGAGACATCTGCTGTTAAACTGGAGCCGGTCATAAGCACACTGCCCAGGTATGGGAAACTCTCCACTCTCTCCACAACTGCCCCATCACCGATTGGGAATTGTGGGGGTGGAGTGTCCGATGGTACAAAATACCACGGCAGGTGCTTAGTTTTGGTGGGGCTGATGGTAAGGCCCCATCTCTTAGTGGCACGCTCCAGTCTCAGCAGCAGCGTCTCCAACTTTTCCTCTGAATGAGCAGCTATTACCAAATCATCGGCATACATAACGTGGTTGAGCAATAGGGAGCCATCCCTTGAACGCACCCGTGCAACGATCAGCCTCCCATTATATCTGTACCAAATGGAGATTCCCCCAGTACAGCTATTGAAAGCTTCATGAACTACGTGGTCAAAATAGATGTTACATAATGTGGGAGCCAGAGGACTTCCCTGTCGCACCCCAAGGTGTACAGAGAATGGCTCTGACTCCCGGCCACGTAGTTTTACCCGGGCCCGCTCACCATCATGAAGGTCCTTAATGATCGTGAGCAGAGGGTCAGGGACTCCAAAAGTACGAAGAACAACCCAGAGCCCAGGCCTACTGATGGTATCATAGGCCTTGACCAGGTCAATAAAGCAGAGATGTAGGTCTTGCTGGAATTCCCTACAACTCTGCTGTAGCAGACGGACAGAAAATATGGCATCTGTGCACGACCGCCCTTTCCTGAAACCGCATTGGGGCTCCGCAAGCCTCTCCTCAGCGTGCTTGGCAAGGCGATGTTGAATAATCCTTGCCAGGACCTTTCCCGGCACACTGAGGAGTGAGATGCCCCTGTAGTTGTTACAGTCTGTGCGGTCCAACCTTCTTCTTAAAGAGGGGGACCACCAGGGCATCCTTCCAATCTTGCGGAACCCGTCCAGTGGTCCAGATTGTTGTTATGATGTCATATAGGGCAGTCTGTGCACAAACGCCACCCTCCCCCAGCATTTCACTTGGGAGATCATCTCTGCCCGGTGCCTTTCCTGGTCTCAGACTCCGGATCGCCTTCAGTACTTCCTCAACAGATGGCACCTCAGCCAGCCACTCACAGGGGGTGACTTCTTCCAATATTTGAGGCACCGCAGCCTCAGCAGGGTCATCCCCACTTTGTGCCAAGATGTTTTCCTGGCTGAGGGATTTCCCCTCCCCCAGGACCTCACAGAAATGCTCAGCAAATCTGCAAACCTGTTCCTGGGGGTCGGAGATTGGATCACCGTTTTTTCCCCTAATGATGGTAATAGGTGTGGCGCTACAGGTTACTTTTTTGATGGAGTTAAATAGAGATTTGTGATCGCGGGCCACTGAGGCAGACTCCATCTCCTCAGCAACCCGCGACCACCACCCATCCTTGCAGCGCCTCATGGCTCTCCGAACCTCCGAGCGAAGGCTGCGGTAAGCCTCCTCATTCTCTGACGTGGGATTCTGTAGACGATGACAGTGGGCCTGTCGCTTTTTCTCAACTATCCTGAACACCTCCTCTGTCAGCCAAGGTCTCTGGGGAGGTCTGGACCGCGTACCCAAATTAGCCAATGCAGCTGCATGAGTCACAGTCCTAAACCTCGCCCATTTACCCTCGACATCAGGAATAGTGTGGGACGATGCCAACCCCAGCGGCAAACGATGATGAAATTCTCGCTTGCAACTTTCATCAGATAACTGAGACCAGGCCACTTTAGGTTGGAATGGGGTCCTGGGTGTACACCCACCACTGGAGTGGGAGAATGGCAGGCGCATCTTATAGATGACAAGTCGATGGTCAGAGGGCAGATCAACTCCACGGTAGGTCCTGGTGTCAAGGACATGGGCTCGCATCCGCTGGTCCGTCACTATGTAGTCCAGCAGATGTTCTTGCTTGGACCCGGCATGCATCCATGTAGTTGTGTGGATGCGCCGATGCCGGAACAGCGTGTACTCAAACACACTAACACACACTCACACACTCACTCACTCACTTTCACTCAATCGCTCCGACCCACTCTCCCTCCACCAGGGCATCGCCGCTGAGTCGGCGTTCAGGTGGCTCCACTTGCGTCCCCCCACCCCTCGCCCCCCTCCTCGCTCCCTGCCCCCCCCCTCGCTCCCTGCCCCCCCCCCTCGCCCCAACCGCTCAGGTGCGAGTCCGAGTCCGCGAGCCACGTGACGGCGCCACCTGTACCCCGTCACCAGACGTCGCCGCTTAACCGCTCACGCCCAGAGCGGCAGTCGAACCGCGCACGTCGTCCCTCTTACCACACCGACTCAAGGTGCATCCTTGAATCTCGCGGGATATTCGCGATCGCCTGTGCAGTAGCGGGACTCGCCCCTAGAGCGAATCGAAATCAAATGCCGGGCGGGGTAGCTGACCACGCGGCCTTAATTGGTGCTTGCTGAAACAGCACGTGACTGAAGCGTCTGTATGTCTACATGGGGGATGTTTGTGTGCGTGTGCGTGTGTGTTTTCATCGGTTGCGTAACGCTGTGTGGAAGCTACCTGGTCTTTCGCATCGCACTAAGCTTCGGGTCTTCTCGGCCACGGTCATTCCCTCCCTTCTCTACGCTTGCGAAACGTGGACCCCCCCTAATGGAACATCTTCGCCGGTTAGAAACATTTAGGCTGGCTTGCCTACGATCCATCCTGGGTTTAACTAGGCTGGATTGTGTGAGGAGCTCACAAATCCTTTAAAGATCTGGGCAAAGTCCCATCAGTGAGCTCCTCCGGCAGGCAAGGCTGCGTTGGCTGGGTCATGTAGCCCGCATGCCCAGCCACCGCTTGCCGAAACAGCTTTTGTTTGTCCGGATCGAGGGGGCTAAACAGGCGCGGCACGGGCTAGAGAAGAGATGGAGTGATGTGGTACAGGAGGATGTGGAGCTGAGTGGACTTGCCGATGACCGGTACCAGGGGTGTCAAGATCGGCCTCTGTGGAGGAGGCTCGTGAAGGACGCTGCTGGGCAGTTGGAGGCAGTCGCCCTCCAACAACAACGGAGGGCGGAGGAGCGACGCTCACAACAACGAGCGGAGCGCCGGGTGGCTAATGCACAGCAAGTTGGCACAGTAAGGGGCACAGGTGGTGCATCAGCCAGTCATCTCAGTCAGTCGACCAGTGGCACCTGGGTCTGCCCCGTGACCTCCTGCCAGCGGGCGTTCGACACTTCACGTGGCCTCAAAGTGCACATGGCCTGGCACAAGCGTCGTGGTGACGTCACCGCCACTTAGTGGCGAATGCGATTTCTGGGGAGCGGTGGTGCAGTGGTTAGCGCGCCGCGCTACGAACCCGGCGACCCGAGGTCGATTACTGCCCACGGCCAACACCAGTGACCATTATCTGCACCGCTCCTGCACCTCCCCTAGGTCGACTCAGCCTCTTATGAGTACCTGGTGCGGTGTGGTAACATCGCCACTGGGGAGACAAAGGCGGCCGGGCGTAGTGTTGGCCACCCCACCCCCTTGCGTACCGTGCGAGCCTTCACGGGTGCTCGCTAACAGCACTTGCCCCACGTGTCTGTCAAGCCTACGGGGGGGATCTTTGTCGTTGTGTGTGTAACCTCCCCTAAACTACCCCCCCCCCCTCCTCCTCCACCCCCTCCACCCCCCTCTACCTTATAACCGCCCCACTGCAGAGTCGAGCGCGCAAAGTGTAGCGGAGTGCGGACAGGAGACGCGGAGAGACGGCGGAGACACACAGAGACACCACGAGGCGACGTCGGGGAGACACGGGGAGACACCGGGACACGGAGACAAAGTAGACGGCGTAAGGAGGCATCGTGAAGAAACCGGAGGCACCTGGAGACATCGGGAGGAACACGGAGACGCGAGGATCACAGTGGAGGTCGCCAAAGAAGCCACGAGGAGATACGGCAAGACGCCGGAGACACGCGGAGCGAGAAGGAGACACGTGGAGTCGCTGGGAGGCACGTGGAGTCGCTGGGATAACGCTCCGCTCGAGTGACACCTGAGTGACGGAAGACATCACCGCGCACGAGGGCTCCCGCCGTCAAAGGGACCCCCGGTTCGATCCATCTCAACGGGTTCCCCGCGGAGCCTCGAGGAAGGAGCGAGAGAGGGACAGAACGCGCGGAGCGATGCACGCGTGTTGGCGTGCGAATCTCTGAGCCGAGGAGTTCGTGTGAGGATCTCCAAACCCCGGGACTCCAGCCGGGACTCTCTCTCTCGCTCTCATCGAGGACTTTTCCCCAGAACCCAGCACTCGAACCCAGGACTCTAACTCGGGAATTCTGAACCGGGGAGACTCGAACCCAGAGCCCAGGACTCCACCCAGGACTCTACCCCCAAAGGAAACGTCGGCAGTGAGAAGCGGCGAGGGAGTGGACCGGCGGGATCAAGGAGTAGGGCGAGAGGGGAGGAGATGTGATTGAGGAGCACAAAGTGGGGATTAGCGAGAGGGGAAATGAGAGGGGGGGCATAGAGCCAAGCCGACGAGAGGGGATCAGGGAGAGGGGATCAGGGAGAGGAGATCAGACAGGGGGTATCAGGGAGAGGGGATCAGGGAGAAGGGATCAGGGAGAGGGGATCGGACAGGGAGGATCAGGGAGAGGAGATCAGGGAGAGGGGATCAGAGAAGGGGGATCAGGGAGAGGGGATCAGGGAGGGAGGATCAGGGAGGGAGGATCAGGGAGGGAGGATCAGGGAGAGGGGATCAGGGAGAGGGGATCAGGGAGAGGGGATCAGGGAGAGGGGATGGCCGCGCCGACCCCCGCGGGGTCGCCCCGTCTCAGGAGGGGCCTCCCACCGGGGTGCGTGTAGGGGACTCCGCGCAACCATGAGCAGCGAGCGGAGGCTGCGGCTGATGCTGCTGCTGCTGCTCTTCACTGGGGTGGCAACGGACCCCCAGCAGCAGCAGCATCATCATCGTCATCAGCAGCACCACCATCAGCAGCACCACCACCACCACCACCATCAGCAGCACCACCATCAGCATCAGGGCGGCGAGCTGGCTACCCGCATGCGCGCCCTCTACGAGCGGTGCCGCCGCGAGGGAGGAGCGCGAATCCGTGGCAACAGCGTGCGGAGCATCGCGGCACTGAGCCCAGGCGAGACGTGACCCCCACCTCCTCGCTCACCACGTGACCCCCACTCACTCACCACGTGACCCCCACCACCTCACTCACCACGTGACCCCCACCCCCTCGCTCACCACGTGACCCCCACTCACTCACTCACCACGTGACCCCCACCCCCTCACTCACCACGTGACCCCCACCCCCTCGTTCACCACGTGACCCCCACTCACTCACTCACTCACCACGTGACCCCCACTCACTCACTCACCACGTGACCCCCACCCCCTCCCTCACCACGTGACCCCCACTCACTCACCACGTGACCCCCACCTCTCACTCACCACGAGACGTGGCGCCCACCCTTCACTCACCACGTGACCCCCACTCACTCACTCACCACGTGACCCCCACTCACTCACTCACCACGAGACGTGACCCCCACCCCCTCGCTCACCACGTGACCCCCACCCCCTCACTCACCACGTGACCCCCACTCACTCACCACGTGACCCCCACCCCTCGCTTACCACGTGACCCCCATCCCTCACTCACCACGTGACCCCCACCCCTTACTCACCACGAGACGTGACCCCCACCCCCTCGATCACCACGTGACCCCCACCCCCTCACTCACCACGTGACCCCCACTCACTCACTCACCACGTGACCCCCACCCCTTACTCACCACGAGACGTGACCCCCACCCCTCACTCACCACGTGATCCCCACTCACTCACTCACCACGTGACCCCCACCCCCTCACTCACCACGTGACCCCCACCCCCTCACTCACCACGTGACCCCCACTCACTCACTCACCACGTGACCCCCACTCACTCACTCACCACGTGACCCCCACCCCCTCGCTCATCACGAGACGTAACCCCCACCCTTCACTCACCACGTGATCCCCACTCACTCACTCACCACGTGACCCCCACCCCTCAATCACCACGTGACCCCCACCCCTCACTCACCACGAGACGTAACCCCCACCCTTCACTCACCACGTGACCCCCACTCACTCACTCACCACGTGACCCCCACCCCTCGCTTACCACGTGACTCCCACCCCCTCGCTCACCACGAGACGTGACTCCCACCCCTCCCTCACCACGTGACCCCCACCCCTCGCTCACCACGTGACCCCCACCCTGTCCTATCCTGACATCACCACCGTCCTGCGTGTAGTTCCTGCAGGGATGTGATGGTGATGATGGTCATGATGACCATCATCAATCATCATGAGTTACAAATGACATATTCATTATCATCATCAGCAGCAGCGGCATTATCTGCAATCGCCACCAAACACGCGCGTCTAAGGTGGGAAGGATTTGAGGGGAGGGGTGCAGCGTCCCCCCGCCCCCCTTTTGACCCCGCCCCTCGCCTAACCCCATATGCCACGGATTCGCATAAATCCTCACCGAGTCTCGAGGCACATGTGCAGGAGGGTCTTGATCCCTCGAGATGTTTGACCGATTCCGTTATAACCTCGCTCAATAAAAAAAACGTGTTGAACTCCTGTCTATTGCGACTCGACTGATAGTGCTGGGTGTTGCTGGCCGCTTGACGGTTTTTTTTGGGACGTTTGGGGCTGCGCCCCGCATCTGCGCGTAACCAAATAGAATCAATTAATTCCCGTGAATAACTCCATGAGTGATGGATGAGAGTCTGGCTCCACGTGGGAGGATGTCGCAGGAGTTGATTTGAGTTTAAAATAAAACCCCAGCGACTCACTGCTATACACGACTGTGTGTGTGTGTGGGGGTCACACTCACAAGCTGCGGGCAGCACACACGGGTTCACGATCCCGCTTGCCGTACTCACCTGCCACGCCGCATCTGACCCATAGGGTTTGCCGGTGTCATCTAGACTCGTCTAGACCCTGTCGCGCAAGGGCTAGGTTAGTCAAAGAGACTGGGATGGGTTCAGCTAGACTATTCTAGATTTGAAGCTTTCGTGACTGCAAGGATCCATACTCTTTGGTTCTATTCGGTAAAGTCACGTAGGTAAAAAATAAAACAACAAAAATCACGACGTTTCGGCCACAACACAAGTAGCCTTCACCTGACGAAGGCTACTTGTGTTGTGGCCGAAACGTCGTGATGTTAGTTGTTTTATTTTTTACCTACGTGACTTTACCGAATAGAACCAAAGAGTATGCAGCTCGACTGTGCTCTTGAAGGATGCATTTCTCCACAGAGTATTTATCTGGACTCTACTGGGCTAGAGTTGGCTGGACCGGATTTCCCGAGACGAAATTGCTCTAAACGTTATTGCTGTGGACAGCAAAACTCTAGGCTGTATTGATGTAGACCTCACAGCTGTAGACTGCATTGATGTATACCTCACAGCTCTAGGCTGTATTGATGTAGACCTCACAGCTCTAGACTGTATTGATGTAGACCTCACAGCTGTAGACTGTATTGATGTAGACCTCACAGCTCTAGACTGTATTGATGTAGACCTCACAGCTGTAGACTGTATTGATGTAGACCTCACAGCTGTAGACTGTATTGATGTAGACCTCACAGCTGTAGACTGTATTGATGTAGACCTCACAGCTCTAGACTGTATTGATGTAGACCTCACAGCTGTAGACTGCATTGATGTAGACCTCACAGCTGTAGACTGTATTAATGTAGACCTCACAGCTGTAGACTGCATTGATGTAGACCTCACAGCTGTAGACTGTATTGATGTAGACCTCACAGCTGTAGACTGTATTGATGTAGACGTCACAGCTGTAGACTGTATTGATGTAGACCTCACAGCTGTAGACTGTATTGATGTAGACCTCACAGCTCTAGACTGTATTGATGTAGACCTCACAGCTGTAGACTGTATTGATGTAGACCTCACAGCTCTAGACTGTATTGATGTAGACCTCACAGCTGTAGACTGCATTGATGTAGACCTCACAGCTGTAGACTGTATTGATGTAGACCTCACAGCTGTAGACTGTATTGATGTAGACCTCACAGCTGTAGACTGTATTGATGTAGACCTCACAGCTGTAGACTGTATTGATGTAGACCTCACAGCTCTAGACTGTATTGATGTAGACCTCACAGCTCTAGACTGTATTGATGTAGACCTCACAGCTGTAGACTGTATTGATGTAGACCTCACAGCTGTAGACTGTATTGATGTAGACCTCACAGCTGTAGACTGTATTGATGTAGACCTCACAGCTCTAGACTGTATTGATGTAGACCTCACAGCTGTAGACTGTATTGATGTAGACCTCACAGCTCTAGACTGTATTGATGTAGACCTCACAGCTGTAGACTGCATTGATGTAGACCTCACAGCTGTAGACTGTATTGATGTAGACCTCACAGCTGTAGACTGTATTGATGTAGACCTCACAGCTGTAGACTGTATTGATGTAGACCTCACAGCTGTAGACTGTATTGATGTAGACCTCACAGCTGTAGACTGTATTGATGTAGACCTCACAGCTCTAGACTGTATTGATGTAGACCTCACAGCTCTAGACTGTATTGATGTAGACCTCACAGCTGTAGACTGTATTGATGTAGACCTCACAGCTGTGGACTGTATTGATGTAGACCTCACAGCTGTAGACTGTATTGATGTAGACCTCACAGCTCTAGACTGTATTGATGTAGACCTCACAGCTGTAGACTGTATTGATGTAGACCTCACAGCTGTAGACTGTATTGATGTAGACCTCACAGCTGTAGACTGTATTGATGTAGACCTCACAGCTGCAGACTGTATTGATGTAGACCTCACAGCTCTAGACTGTATTGATGTAGACCTCACAGCTCTAGACTGTATTGATGTAGACCTCACAGCTCTAGACTGTATTGATGTAGACCTCACAGCTCTAGACTGTATTGATGTAGACCTCACAGCTCTAGACTGTATTGATGTAGACCTCACAGCTCTAGACTGTATTGATGTAGACCTCACAGCTGTAGACTGTATTGATGTAGACCTCACAGCTCTAGACTGTATTGATGTAGACCTCACAGCTCTAGACTGTATTGATGTAGACCTCACAGCTGTAGACTGTATTGATGTAGACCTCACAGCTGTAGACTTTATTGGCCGTGCCTGGGACGCTGGGACCCCTCCCGCCCCGGGCTCCCCGTGGGCTCCGCGTGGCTGCGGCGGCGGTGCCCCTCGGGCTCCTCCACCTGGGTAGAGCGCGCACCTGGCGGGGTGGGGGCCTTGGGGGGGGGGGGGCTCCCACCCCCTCCCCCACTCCCCCACTCCCCCCCTCCCCCTTCCATCGAGCTGCGTAGTGGAATTTGATCGATCCCATTCCGTGTGTAGCACGGAAGCGCATGTGCAGTTCGGCAAAATGGATACGGGCAGATCTCATTCAGGTACTGATCGTGGCGACGCTGCACCTGGCTGCCTGTGACGCAGTGCTGGGGTGGCAGCGGCAGCAGCAGCAGCGAGGGGTTGGTGGATCGCACGCAGATGTTGGCAAACTGTCTTGGGCGTCGAAGTGGAGCGATTACCCCTGCTCGCCAGCAAACAAATGTGGAAATCCACCTGTTCCATCGGTATGGGATAGAGTGTTGTCCCCTCGCACGCGTGGCGTATCTCCACGCGCGCTGGTTTCATCCCACAGAGATTCATTAGTTAGCCGATAACGTCTTCGTATACAGAGGACCGCAGAGTTTGGACAATTGTTGGTAGCGCCGGCTCTTCACGGCGTGGCTACTGCCTTCCTGCTCCTCGTCTGGACATCTGTGAACAATATTTGCTTTAGAGCTCATCGGAGTCCTCCAGTATAAAATTAATATTTTGATTCTGTCTGTGGTTCCTCCTCCTCCTGGCGCCTCTGAGTCGTCCTCTCTCTCTACGAGATCGAGATGACGATGTGCGGTCTGCGCGTTATACGCTGACATTAAGGGGTAGTGTAGTTAGGTTCGTCAGTCCGTCACCATTCACTCATACACTGACTCGCCAATAAATCACCCACTCACTCACTCACCCACTCACCCACTCACTCACTCACCCACTCACTCACCCACCCACTCACTCACCCACCCACTCACCCACTCACCCGCTCACTCGCCCACTCACTCGCCAAACAATCACCCACTCACTCACCCACTCACTCACCCACTTACTCACCCACTCACTCACCCACTCACTCACTCGCTCACTCGCCCACTCACTCGCCAAACAATCACCCACTCACTCACCCACTCACTCACCCACTTACTCACCCACTCACTCACCCACTCACTCACTCACCCACTCACTCGCCAAACAATTACCCACTAACTCACCCATTCACTCACCCACTTACTCACCTACTCACTCACCCACTAACTCGCCAAACAATCACCCACTCACTCACCCACTCACTCACCCACTTACTCACCCACTCACTCACTCACCCATCCATCCACCCGCTCACCACACTGCAGCCCACGTCACTTCTCATCCTGTTGCTTCGCTCTGACACCATCGTCTCTTCTCCAAAGTTCTTAAAAAAAAACCTTTGCGCCAATTCAAGAGGCGCGCTCGCTCAAGCGCATTGACAACTTTAACAGTGCCGTTTGTTGCTGACCGCTTGGCGATTCGAGCCCTACCTACTTGCGTGCTCGGCAACCGTGGCTGTCTAAACAAACAAGAACAAGCACCTCGCCTCCTCTCTTCCGCCACCGTGGTCGAGTGGCGCCCCCTGGCGTGCAGTTTGGGAATCGCGTGGCGCGGCGAGAGGGGGGCACTGGGGGGGGGGGGGGGGGGTGGACGGTAACCCCGACACAGGGAGGCCAAGCGCGACCCCTTTCACACTCTAGACCCCTGCTATCCCCTCGCTTGACCCAGGCTCGAATCATTCTTGGAGTTGGTCAAACATCCGAGTTATAGGACCTCATCCCCCCGTGACCCGCGTTTCCCTCTCCCTCACAACCCCCCTCCCCCCCACATTATGACCTCATCCCCAAATGACCCCCGCAGCCCCCGTGACCCGCGTCTCCCTCTCTCTCACACCCCCCGCCCCTCCCCCAGGAGACTCGCCGCCAGGACCCCACTTCTCCTTCAACCTCTCCCTCATCCCAGCGTCCGAGTCGCTCATCGCCGCGTCTCTCCACTTCCCCCCGGGCGCCCCGAGGCGACAGGGACGTGGGCCCCAGCGCGTCTCCGTGTCGCTGTGGGGCTCGGCGCACCCCCGCGGCGACCCCGGCGCGGGGCGCCCTCGCCGCACGTTCTCGTTCATCCCCTCGAGCTACGCGCACTGGCACGCGCGGGACGTCACGGAGCCGCTGGGCGAGGCGCGGTCCCGAGGGATGCCCTGGCTCCACGCGGACATTCGGACGGGCCCCAGGGGTGCCGAGGAGGTCCCTTACCTCCTCGTCTTCGCATTCGACTCGGCCCTAGCGGGGGACGGCGGCGTCGCGAGCGTCCTGCACCTGCGGGCCCTGCACCAGGCGCGTGGGGAGTCTCGCGGGACGCGGGGACCCGAGCCCCTCGCCGATGGGGACGATGAGCAGGGCGTGTCGGACAGGGGAGCCGGGGTCGGGATCGAACCCGAAGGGGACGTTGGAGAAGGGGTGCGGCAGAGGCGCGACGCGTCCCTGCGGACAAATGAACTGCCCGGGTCGCGTCTCTTGGCTCCCTCCCCCTCCTACGAGGACGGTGATGATGGTCATGATGACGATGACGATGGCAGTGATGGTGATGACGATGAAGAGATGGCACAGGAAAGAAGATCATCAGCAGCAGCATCATCGTCAGCAGCATCATCGTCATCAGCATCATCAGCAGCAGTAGCAGCAGCAGCATATTCACCATCTTCATCATCAGCTGCATCAGCAGCATATTCACCAGCTTCATCGTCATCCCAGCGCAGATCTCGTCCCAGAGACGCGCAGAGGCAGAGAGATCAGGGAGGAGCCAACAGCAGCAGCCACGGCGGCGGCGGCCGGGGTCGCGGGAAGACCGAGGCGGAACGGAGGCGCAGGGCGGACAAGCGGCGTCCCCCGGGCGGGGGTCCCGCGGCGGGGGGGGCCCCCTCCCTCTCGGCGTGCGCACGACGCCACCTCACGGTGGACTTTGCCGACATCGGCTGGGACAAGTGGATCATCTCCCCTAAAGCGTACCTCGCGCACTACTGCGCCGGCACCTGCGACTTCCCCATGTCCAAGGTACGGGGCGCGGGAGGAGGCATCGAGGCAGCGCCGCGGTGGCTATGAGATGTTAACTACCTCGCCTGGTATGCAGGGGGTCGTGGCTTCGATCTCGACCCTGACGCCTGCTGCTGTATATTTGGAGTTTGCGTGTCTCTCTCTCATCATCATCACGGTGGCTATGAGATGTTAACTACCTCGCCTGGTATACAAGAGGTCGTGGGGTTCGGTCCCGACCCTGACGCATGCTGCTGTATATTTGTAGTTTACGTGTCTCTCTCTCTCATCATCACGGTGGCTATGAGATGTTAACTACCTCGCCTGGTATGCAGGGGGTCGTGGCTTCGATCTCGACCCTGACGCCTGCTGCTGCTGTATATTTGGAGTCTGCGTGTCTCTCTCTCTCATCATCATCACGGTGGCTATGAGATGTTAACTACCTCGCCTGGTATGCAGGGGGTTGTGGGTTCCATCCCGACCCTGACGCCTGCTGCTGCTGTATATTTGGAGTCTGCGTGCCTCTCGCCCCGTGGTCGCGTGCATTTTCTCCGGACCCTCCGGGTTCCTGGTCATTTCCACGTCATAAGTCACTTCATCATTTGTGACCAGGTCGCTTCTGAAAAAGAACTATGTATATATATATAGCTCAGTAGGCCTTACCTGGAGAAATAAAAAAAAATAATGCACAATTATAGCTAACGCCGTAGTAGACGCGTTGCTTTGCCGTAGCTACTCGGCACGTGGCGTGGGCAACTCCGCGTGCTTCAAACGCTGCGGGGGTAGCTAGCAGCGAGGGGGAGGGGTTGGTGGACCACCGCACTGATGTTGCGATGCCAGACTACGGCGGAGAGGGCGTGAAGGCGTCGGGGGGTCCACAGGGTCTGTGAGTTGCCCTGGGACCCGCAACCCCCCCCCCCCCCCCCAATGCACAACTCTCCTAAACTAAACTAAATTCACCTTTTTTTTGTTTAACCCAGGAAAGGCCAACTGAGCTATATAGTTCTTTACCAGAAGCGACCTGCCCACCGCAAGCGATGGCTCCACAAAGTGGCTTATCACGTGAGAAATGTAAAGCAGCGGCCAATTGTAACACGTGGATGGGCGTCGAGAAGGAGCCGTACAGCAAAACATCAATTGTAGACTCCAACCTGTCCCGTCTGGACCCCGTGGATATTCGTCTTACGTGTAGAGCATTCAATCAATTGGCCCAATAACACCGTGACATATAGAGGACCACGCACAGTGTGATTCCTGGATAAGTTGAGTTTCGTTACTGCCATTGCAGTAGCGTAATCGTCACGAAATAATCGATAATAATCCATCGTCGTCATCATCATAAATGGTCCACCATCCTCATGAATAATCCATCAGCCTTCGCCCTTCATTAACAATAATATGTCATCGTCCTTATTTCAAGATCATCATCGTACAAAATATAATCATCCTGATTTATAGATCGTCGTCTTCATTCTTAACGGTCCATCATAAAAAAAACACAATCATCATCTATAAACCATCATCGTAATGCAAAGAGCATGATGATCTTAACATCATCAGAAAGTCATCACCACCATCATCATTTAAATTCAGACATCGTATCGTGGTGGTCTCGGAAGTCAATTAAAAAAAAGACGGTTACTGAGTGAAGGCCCAGAATCCCAAAACGCCAAGCGGGCCAGCGACAAACAGCACTGCAACGCGTCTCTTGAATTGAGCGAGGTTATTATTATTATTGTTGTTGTTATTTTAAGAGCTTGGGAACAAGAGACTGTGGTGATGGGAGAGGGAGTTCCAATGTTCGGCAAAGTGACGGGAAAAAGCAAAGAGAGAGAGAGAGAGAAGTGAAGTGATCTGCAGTTTAGTGAGTGAGTGAATTGGTGAGTGGGTGAGTGAGTGGCTGAGTAAGTGGTTGAGTGAGTTGTTGTGACCTCCAGTGCGCTGGTGGTTGCACAGAGTGTGGATGAGACGAAACGGTGAATGTCGAACGGACCAAGTCCTCAACACGGGTGGAGGAGTCAGCGAGTGAAGTTCATTGGGACAGTAACACACGTGTCTGTCAATGTGTGTGTCATTGTGTGTATATGTTGTGGGGAGCGGTGGTGTAGCGGTTAGCGCGCTGCGCTACGAACTTGGCGACCCGGGTTCGATTCTCGCTCACGGCCAACACCCAGTGGCGATTATCTGAACCGGTCCTGGGACTCCCCTAGGTCGATTCAGCCTCAAATGAATACCTGGTGCGGTGTAAACATCGCCACTGGGGAGACAAAGGCGGCCGGGCGTGGTGCTGGCCACCCACCCCTCGTGCGACGTGCCGGCCTTCATAGGTGCTCGCTAACAGCACTTGCCCCAACAGTCTGTTCAGGCTATATGGGGGATCTTGATCTTTTTAATATGTGTGTGTCACTGTGTGTTTATTTGTGTGATTGTAGCAAACTAACAAAATACTGAGAAAGGTCATGATTGGGATTATTCAACATCGCCTTACCAGGCAGCACGCCGAGGAGAGGCTTGCGGAACCCAACGTGGTTTTAGGCACAGACGCCATATTCTCTCTCTGTCTGCTGCATCAGAGGTGTATAGAATTCCAACAGCACCTACAGCTCTGCTTTATTGACCTGGGCTATGATACCACCAATAGGCCAGGGATCTTTAGGGGTCCCTGGCCCTCTGCTCACGATCATTGAGGACCTTCGTGATGGTGGGCAGGCCACGAGTCAGAGCCATTTCCTGTTCGCCGTGGAGTGCGACAGGCATGTCCTTCGAGAAGCTTCCCATGGATGTACCGGTGGAATTTCCATCTGATACAGATACAATGGACAGCTAGCTGATCGATGTCCGGGTGCGGTCAAGGAGTCTCTCTCTTGGTCAACCGTGTCATAACTGCTGCTGCTGAACCCATCAGTCCCCCAAAAAAACAAAGCACCTGCCCGGGTAGTTTATTTCATGAAATACTCTACCCCTCAAAGTCTCCATGAGCAATGGGGGAGATGTGGAGAGAGTGCGGAAGTTTCCCTACCAGGGCAGTGTGTTTATGACCAATTCCGGTTTGTCATGCTGCCTAACGCTGTGTGGAAGCTAGCTGGCCTGTCGCTCCATAAGAAGCTTCGGGTCATCTCGGCCAGTTAGGCCCTCCGTTCTCGATCATTTACGAAACGGTTTGGAATATTTCGGCTGGTCTGCCTACGATCCATCCTGGGTTTAACAACATTGCATTGTGTGAGGAGCTCACAAAGCCTTGAAAGATCTGAACACAGTTCCCATCGGTGAGCTCCTCCGGCAGACGAGGCCGCATTGGCTGGGTCACGTAGCCCGCATGCCCAACCACCGCATGCCCACGCAGCTTCTGTTTGGCCGCATAAAGCGGTCGCGGCATGGGCTGGAGAAGAGATGGAGCTGATGCGGCTACGGGAGGTTGTGGAGCTGAGTGGACTCGCCGATGACTTGACCAGCGATGTCAAGATCGGCCTCTGCGGAGGAGACTCGTCAACGACGCTACTGGGCAGTTGGAGGCAGTCGACCTTCAGCAACAACAAAGGGTGGAAGAGCGACGCTCACAACAACGAACGGAGCGCCGGGCGTTTAAAACGCAGCAAGTTGGTATAGTGCGGGACATAGGTAGCGCATCTGCCGGTCATTTCAGCAAGTCAACCCATGGCACCTGGGTCTGTGGCTTGTAACCCGCAAGCAGTGAGAGCCTTCCATAATTCACGTGATGGCATCAAAGTGCACCGAGCCTGGCACACGCGCTGTGGTCACGTCACCATCGCTTAGTGGCGAACGGCGGCAGTAGTGTTTTTTTGTGTCACCGTTTGCCTGTCGCTGTTAGCATTGTGCCTGTAATGTGTGTATGTATTATGTGTGTATGTATTATGTGTGTATGTATTATGTGTGTGTTTTATGTGTGTATTGTGTATGTATTATGTGTGTATGTATGATGTGTGTATTTTGTATATATTATGTGAGTTTGTATTGTGTGCTTGTATTATGTGCGGATGTTTTTGTGTGTATGTATGTATCATGTGTGTATGTTTCTGTGTGTATATGTCTGCGTGTATGTATATGTGTGTATGTTTCTGTGTGTATGTATGTGCGTAGTATTTGTATGTATTATATGTATGTATTATGTGTATGTTTATGTATGTATGTTTATATGTGCATTATGTGTATGTGTGTATGTTTATTTATTTAACATCTATTTCGACCACGTAGTTCGTGAAGCCTTCGATGGCTGTAATTTCCATCTGGTAATTTCCATCTGGTACAGATACAATGCGATGCCCGGGTGCGGTCAAGAGATGGCTCCCTATTGCTCAACCACGTTACGTATGCCGATGATTTGGTAATAGCTGCTCATTCAGAGGAGGAATTGGAGACTGCTGCTGAGACTGAAACGTGCCACTAAGAGGTGGGGCCTTACCATCAGCCCCACCAAAATTAAGCACCTGTCTGGGTATTTTGTACCATCGGACACTCCACCCCCACAACTCCAATCGGTGATGGGGCAGTTGTGGAGAGAGTGGAGAGTTTCCCATACCTGGGCAGTGTGCTTATGACCGGCTCCAGTTTAACAGCAGAGGTCTCACTCCGAATCAGTCGAGCGGCAATATCTTTTCATCGGTTGCGTAACGCTGTGTGGAAGCTACCTGGTCTGTCGCTCCGCACTAAGCTTCAGGTCTTCTCGGCCACGGTCATTCCCTCCCTTCTCTACGCTTGCGAAACGTGGACCCCCCAAATGAAACATCTTCACCGGTTAGAAACATTTAGGCTGGCCTGCCTACGATCCATCCTGGGTTTAACCAGACTGGATTGTGTGAGGAGCTCACAAATCCTTGAAAGATCTGGGTAAGGTCCCATCGGTGAGCTCCTCCGGCAGGCAAGGCTGCGATGGCTGGGTCATGTAGCCCGGATGCCCAGCCACCGCATGCCGAAACAGCTTTTGTTCGGCCGGATCGAGGGGGCTAAACGGGCACGGCATGGGCTAGAGAAGAGATGGAGTGATGTGGTACGGGAGGACGTGGAGCTGAGTGGACTTGCCGATGACTGGTACCAGCGGTGTCAAGATCGGCCTCTGTGGAGGAGGCTCGTGAAGGACGCTACTGGGCAGTTGGAGGCAGTCGCCCTCCAACAACAACGGAGGGCGGAGGAGCGACGCTCACAACAACGAGCGGAGCGCCGGGTGGCTAGGGCACAGCAGGTTGGCACAGTAGGGGGCACAGGTGGTAAATCAGCCAGCCATCTCAGTCATCTTAGTCAGTCGACCCGTGGCACTTGGGTCTGCCCTGTGACCTCCTGCCAGCGGGCGTTCGACACTTCACGTGGCCTCAAGGTGCACATGGCCTGGCACAAGCGTCGTGGTGACGTCACCGCCACTTAGTGGCGAGTGGCGGTTGTTGTTGTTGTTGTTATGTGTGTATGTTTATGTGTGTATGTTCATGTGTGTATGTGTGTATGTTTAGGTGTGTATGTGTATGTTCATGTGTGTATGTTCATGTGTGTATGTGTGTATGTGTATATGTGTGTATGTGTGTATGTGTATATGTGTGTATGTGTGTATGTGTATATGTGTGTATGTTTATGTGTGTATGTGTATATGTGTGTATGTGTATATGTGTGTATGTTTATGTGTGTATGTGTGTATGTTTATGTGTGTATGTGTGTATGTGTATATGTGTGTATGTTTATGTGTGTATGTGTGTATGTGTATATGTGTGTATGTGTATATGTGTGTATGTTAGCGGCCAAGCGTGGTGCTGCCCCCCCTCCCCCTCGTGTGCCGTCACGGCCTTCATAGGTGCTCGCCAACAGCACTTGCCCGTGACCGTCTCTTTAGGCTATACGGGGAACCTTCGTCTATATTTGAGCGTAACAAATTTCTTAACCAGTACCGGGCCTCACCTAGGTCGACTCAGCCTGAAATGAGTACCTGGTGCAAGGGTGTGTAAACATCAGCACTGCCGAGACAAAGGCGGTCGGGCGTTGTGCTGGCCAGAACACCGCCTGATCGCACGTGTCAGCAACAATTTTGTTTTTAATGCAGGGTGCTTCAATAAAATGTTAACACTTACATGGGACTCTCGTTTTTAATAGCTTCAAATAGTCTCTACTTGTTCGCCATTCTTGTCAACGCACGCTGGAATCTTCTGCAGGCGATCTCCAGAGCCTGGAGGCTGCTGCACATTTTCTCGTGGTGTTGATACAAATTCTCTTGAGTGTTAATATTTTTTTGAAGCAGCCTGTACATTGGGTTGTGATGGTAGCACCTCTAGTGGCTGTAACTGCAATACTCCGTGAGATGGAATCGGAATTAAAACTCCCATCGATTCTCAAGCACGCGTCAGTCTAAAATTATCATCATCGTCATCGGCAAGGGTCAATTATCTACTGGACGTTCAAAATTAAAGGGGGTGAGTGGCCAATACCACGCCCGGCCGCCTTTGTCTCCCCCCGTGCCACTGTTTACGCATTGCACCAGGTAGTAATTTGAGTCTGAGTCGACCTAGTGGGAAGGCCCAGCAGGACAGATTCGGATAAATCGTCACTGGTGTTGGTGAATCTAAATATTAATAAAAACCGGAGGAATCCGATGAGCTATGAAGCTGTTTTTTGCTACAGCTGTCTAGCAGGGGCAAGCTGTCAGAATGTAGCGCGACAAATAACACAACAACAAGGTAGGAGTACAAATCACAAGTAAGATAAACAGATCACTTTAAAAAATATACACAAGTAAAACTAATCTATATTTTTTTTCATCTTACTACGTAAGATCAAATGAGCCATGAGCTTCTTTTTCAGGAGCGACCTGGCCACAAATGACAGCACCACGAAGTGGCTTATCGTCAATGTGAAAATCATCGAAATCATGTGTACGCGTGTTTCGTGTGACCGTGAGCGCGAATCGAACTCGGGTCGCCCGGTTGGTTACGGTAGCGCGGTGCGTCAACCACTGCGCCACCGCTCCCCCGACTCACCCACCCCACACCCTCCACGGGCCGTGCGTCTCGCGAAGCACGCGACCATCCGGATCGTGGTTCGTGCCGTGGGGGCTGGTGCCGGACAAGATAACCCCCACTCAGCGTCCTAACCACTGCGCCACCGCTCCTCCCCCCCCACTCCACTCACCCACCCCTCCGTAGGCCGTGCGTCCCACGAACCACGCGACCATCCAGAGCGTGATGCGTGCCGTGGGGCTCGTGCCGGGTCTGCCGGGGCCGTGCTGCGTGCCGGACAAGATGACCCCGCTCAGCATCCTCTACGTGGACCAGGCAGACAGCGTGGTCCTCAAACTCTACCCCAACATGTCCGTTGAGTCGTGCGCCTGCAGATAGCCGGGCCTTCGACGCCCCGGCGACAACACAGAGGGAGATGTGGGGGGGGGTGGGGGGGGGAGCGAAGGGGGAGTCTATATTCTAGGGGGTCAGAGAAGTGGCGGGGGGGGAGGGGATACGAAGTGTGGTGGGGGGCACACCCTTGGACTTTCCCAAACATCTCTCGCTCTCTCTGACAGCGCTTCACATCGGCACCTCTCAGGGGGAGACGCGAGACGGCCAGCAGGTGGAAGAAGGGGGGGTGAGCAGTAGGGGGCACGGGTAGTAAAGGGGGGCGTGGTGGTGGGGGGGGGTCCACGTGGTGAGGCCACGCGGACACCGGGGGGCGTTGCTGCATCTCTTCGGATCTGATCCTCGCGCTGCGCCCCGTGTTAGAGGGCCCAACTCACGAGACAAACAGCAGCAGCAGCGTCAGCTTGTGTAGTGGCGAGGCGTGTCAGTGGAACGATACGGCGAGAGGGACACTCAGGAGGGAGGTGCGAGAGAGGGAAAGGGTGCGGGGAGTCGACGGGATGACGGGAGAGGGGATGGTGTGGGGATGAGAGGGGAGAGGAGGAAGAGGGAAGGAGAGTGGAGTGGGTCGAGAAGAGTGAGTAAACAAGATGGGTGGGGAAGGAGTAAGTGAGGATAAGAGGAGGGGGAAGGGGGAGGTAGAGAAGAGGGGAGAGGAGGGAGAGGCAAGGGGAGGGGAGGGAGAGGCAAGGGGAGAGGAGGGAGAGGCAAGGGGAGAGGAGGGAGAGGCAAGGGGAGAGGAGGGAGAGGCAAGGGGAGGGGAGGGAGAGGCAAGGGGAGGGGAGGGAGAGACAAGGGGAGATCTTCCGCTCAGACCGCGCCTCCAAGATCCGCTCATTGGGGCCCGAGGCCCGAGGCCCCCCCCCCCCCACAAGGGTGGGGGCCTTGGGTAGCGGGAGACGCCAGGACCCCCCGCAAGGGATAAACACGTGCAGCGAATTAAGTCGCTTACTCATCACCCACCCGGGGGGTGGGGGCGGGGCTGGGGGGTGGGGGCTCTTACAACTGATGATGATGATGAGTCTCTTGAGGACGTCTTGATGAGCATCGTTCCACGCTGTGTGGTCGTCACCCTCATTAAGAACTCGTGGTGGTGATGATGATGATGGATGACTCAGCAGCAGCACGAGGATCAGCATCGTCATCGACAGGAGCATCATCAGCAGCATCAGCAGCATCATCAGCAGCACGGGCGCCGATGGATCGCGGCCGCTCAAGCTCACGGACCAATAGCGCCGCCACGTGGACGTGTGTGACACTTAAGAGTACTCCCCGCTCGCTTTATCCGACGTGCGATGATGGGAGGTTGACAGTGGTGATGGGCTCGATGATGGAGAGTTGGTGGAGAGGGGAGGAGGATGCGAGCCCAGCCTCTCCACCTTCACCCTCCACCCCCTTCCCAACCTAACCTTCCACGTGGGTGAACTATTCAGCAAGGGTCACGTGGATCTATCTACCACTATCAACGGACCTCGCCATCGCTTCCTTCCTTCTGCCAGGTCTCAACAGTCGTCGAACAGTCGACACCAGAACGTACCTTCAGGGTCTGTTCTTACAGTCTCATCAGCAGCATCATCAGCAGGCTCATCAGCAGCATCAGCGTCACGCGTAACTGCATCCTCCGCTCAGATAATTAAGGACGGATCATTAAAGGAACCACGTCCTGCCAGCTGGAGGGTGACGTCACACGGCGCGCGCTGATTCGTCCCTGCGATAGTAGGTGGGGGGGGGTCAGTGACGTCGACAACAAACCGCGTGCTATGTCGCACGCGCGCACGTGGCGTCGACGCTAATTATTAATGATAGAAAATAATTATGATTATGAATATTGTTGTTACTATTATATTTTGTTTGTTATTAACGCCGTTATCTCTGTTATGATATCGTTCATGGGCTACGTTGCATTATTGTTATTACTTAGCATTTGTAAAGCGACGTCGTGTGTCAGTTCGGCGTGAGATCGAGTCACCCGCTAACGATTAGATTAATTGTCACGCGTCGCGCCCGATAATCGATCCGTGAATCGATTATATTTTTGGCCAAGGCTATTTTTTTATATCGTGACCGCGTGGTTATGACGGAAAAATCACATAGAGCGTCAACTAATAATTATAATCGGATAGGATAACATAGCGGGTTAGTCTCAGAGTGTTTGTCTTACGGACAGAATACACGCAGTGCATACAGTACACGCATATATACACAAGACAAAGAACCCCCGTATAGCCTTAACGGACGATAGGAGCAAGTGCTATTAGCGAGTAGCACCTATGAAGGCTGGAACGGCACACGTAGGGGTGGGTGGCCAGCACCTCTCCCGGGCACATTTGTCTCCCTAGTGGCGACATTCACACATCGCACCAGGTACTCGTTTGAGGTTGAGTCGACCTAGGGGAGAGAGGCCCACGACCGGTTCAAGTGATCGTCACCGGTGTTGGCCGTGAGCGGGAATCGAACTCGGGTGGCCGCGTTCGTTGCACGGCGTGCTAACCGCTACACCGCCGCTACCCTTATATACACATACACACGTATATATACACACGTATATATATATACACACACATACACACGTATATATATTACACATTGCTCTCTCTCCTTGGTGCAAATATTCCACTGCGTTTCCCAGTCCTGTCTCTCTTCCCCACGCTCTTACTGACCGATGTTTCCGAGATCCCTTAAGCGAACTCGTTGTCACGTGACCTTCGTATTGCCAGGCCCGTCCATAGTAAGTGGGGTGGGGTGGGGGGGGAGGGGTGCAGGAGCCCGGGGCAACTCGCAAACCGTGGGGGGCCCCCCAACGCCTTCAAACTAAAGGGGGAATATTTAACATCTGACTCCGTGACGCCAAAGCACGGGACCACCCCCCCCCCCCCTCCCTGGGGCCACCCGTCACCTCCCCCCCCCCCAGGACCACCCCCCCAAAGGCGCGGGGTCTGGGGCAGCCGCCCCGATTCGCCGTAACCCGAGTCTACGGCTCTCCGTGTCGCCCTCACATTCGTCCCTGCCGTGTTCATTGCCTTTGTGACGTCACAGCGATGGCCGCGTCTCATAGTCAACAGGCGATGCGCGTGGGACTACAAAGACAAAGATCCCCCCCTATAGCCTGAACAGACTGTTGGGGCAAGTGCTGTTAACGAGTAGCAGCACCTGTGAAGGCCGGCACGGTACGCGAGGGGGCGGTGGGTGGCCAGCAACCACGCCCGGCCGCCTTTGTCTCCCCCAGTGGCGCTCTTTACGCGCCGCACCAGCTACTCGTTCGAGACTTGAGTCGACCTAGGGGGAGTCCCAGGACCGGTTACAGATAATCGTCGCTGTTGGTGTTGGCCGTGAGCGGGAATCGAACCCCGGGTCGCCAGGTTGATGGTTCGGTGGGCGAACCGCGGCACGGTCTCGCCACGCACACTCACGAGCAGTCTCGAAAACCCACCGGCGTCGAATCTGAAGAATTGCGCTCTAGGCCCCTCTCGTTCTGCCTGAGGTCCCCGTCATAGAAACGTCGAGCTTGATTTAAAGCACTCGTGGCTGCCAGGAATCCAATGCCATTTTGGTCATCTCGGTAAAGTCGCGTCGATAGGAAAATCAATAGATCACGACGTTGCGATCGCAACACGGGCAACCGTTGTCAGGCGAGACAAACGTCAGCAGTTCTCCTGCTAAGTGTTTTTCTATCTCCGTGACTTGACCGAAAGAACCATCATCGAGTCTGATGAGACGATCGGCGATTCGCTGGCAGCGGAAAGCGGCGGCCGGGCTTTAGCGTAGCCCTCATTGGCGCTCATCAGCGCGGCCGAGGAGCTCGCAGCTTGCAACGCGATGTGACGGTGCGCGGTCAGAGAATCCGAGACGTTTTCACGATGGGATCTCGCGTGAATATCCATGCCTTTGTCTGTCGCTGACGTCCGTGTCGAATACAATTTGCTGAAAAATATCGTCTCGCTTGGTTGTGAATGCGTTTTGGAGAAAGCGTGGGGCCTGGTCTGACTCCCTCCCCCCCCCCCCCAACCAACGACGTTTCGCTGGATATAACATCCAGCATCATCATCATCATCATCATGTCTCCACGTGAGAGAGCTCTTGCACATTCCTCTCTATCTTGGTTCTTTCGGTGAAGTCACGTGGAAGGGAAAAAATAAAATAATTATATTTCCCTTCTACGTGGTGACTTTACCGAAAGAACCAAGACTATGAATCCCTGCAGTCACGAAAGTTTTAAATCGAAATTTAAAAATTATTCTCTTTCTCCTTCTCGGCAGTTGCTGAAAGTTAAAAATCAATTCCTTTTTATTCGCCCCGTGGGTGGTGGGAGGCCCATGCAAGACAAATTTTTAATTGACATTTTATACCCCCTACACGATCTAACCCAAAGGAAATTAATTTATAAATCACCCCCCCCCTCCCTGCCTACACGCACGCTGGCACTGTTATTACGTGAGCTCACTGTTGTGGCTGTTATATTTTGGTAAATATTTTTTTGTGTAGTGATTTTAAATATTTATTTTTAATTAAGGACTTGGCTTGCGAGAGCTTGGATGAATGAGCTTGGATGAATGCCTCATACTCTACTCAGTGCTATGCATACCTAAGCATAAACATATATACAGCCTATATTCTTAGCTCTTTCGGTAAATTCACGTTGAAGGGAAACAATAAAATAATAAAATATATATAAAACAATAAAAAAAATTCTCACGACGTTTCGACCATAACACAAACGGTCGTCATATACATTACACACACACACGCAATAAAGACAAAGAGCCCACGTGAGCCCCTAATGAAGGCCAGAATGAAGAATGGCCAGCACCACGCCCGGCCGCCTTTGTCTCCCCAGTAGCGATGTCTACTACACACCGCACCAGGTACTCATTTTGAGGTGGATGTTCACGACCTGTTGAGATATCCGCCAGTGACATTGAGCCGTGAACCGGAATGTAACTCGATCCTGCCTGGTTCGCGGCGCAGTGAGCTAACCACTGCGCTCCCGCTCCCCACACCTACACACACACAAAGATAAAGATCCCCCATATAGCCTTAACAGACTGTAGGGG